AAGACAACAACTCCCATGATCCCCCTAGTGGCAGAAATTACATATAGTACATCTCCCCTGGGTAAGGATTTCCACCATTTAATATGATATAATTACTATAGACTGCATTAGTTGGGTTATTCAGGGTTTATTACCAACATTGGTCACTTTGGTGTTTGACCTTTAGAAAGAGAAAAGTCTGGCCTCATGTGTAGTTTCCATTTACAGACTTTATCTGTTGCCGTGTTGCCAGTGAGGGATTCAGTCTAGGGACACAAAGCTGATCAACTCGGGATCGAACCTGTTTGTCTTTCAGTTTCAGAATGACTTCTCCAGCTGCTGAGTAAATCCCTCTGTGTGGCCTCCAGCTCTCCACAGATTTACTTTCTATCTCTTATCTCGGGCTCTTAACAAAAGAGCTTCAAACATCAAAAATACACCCAGACTGATTCATATAAACAAGCCCTGATGTTTCAGCTTATATACCTACAGCGTCTTTCCATCTGTCACCAATTTCAACTACAAATACCCAATAAAATTAAATCCTCCGTCAAGATCACCTCCAAAATCTAATCAGCTGACTCTGATTCCTGCCGAGGCCGATTGGCCCGACGGATTGACCGGACAACAAATGCAGCCATCGTTTAATTTTACAAGTTACAACCTACAGAAAGAAGGTCAAACCACGAGAGATGTGACACAATAGCAAATAACATTATTAACAAATTACAACTCACAGAGGAGGAGTCCCAAAAACAGATATTCTGATGAAGTCTGAATCAGTTTCCAGCTCCAGCTGACAGGAAACAAGTCTAAAATATTGACCTTGTGGTCGAGAAAGCAAGATGGATCAATCTAGAAGCAACATCAGCTCTCTGTGATTGTCTGTTTTACTCATATGGTCCAAAATCACACAGCTGTGGAAGCTTATTCCTGCCACAAAAAGAAAAACTGATCCGTATCTTATAACGTAAAAGGTTTTTTGATACGTTTTTAGGATAAGATTAATTGTATATTTTTTAACAATAAGTAATCACGTTATGTCATGAAATGTTTTGTTATAACTTTATGTTATAATGTAATAAATCATAATAACAAGAGAACAACATAAATAGAATATTTTAAATAGTTTCTTGTTATATAGTGGCAACGGTTATAATGTGAAATTATAGCAATAAAAAGTTATCATGTTATAACACTGTTGTCATTGTGCTAATCAGTTATATTATATTATGTCATGGTATGTTATTATGTTATTAATGACCGGTTTGTGATTTGCCTTTAAGCGTAATTTTCATTCTTTCTTTTAAGAAAAATTACCATTATTTTATAGAAATCACAAACTCATTTAACAAATGATCAATATTGATATTCGTATAGTTAAAAACGGTCATAAAAAATGTCGATATCACACTGGATTTGAAGTTAAAGGTAAAGTAAATCCCTAGTTTTTAGTCTGAATGCTTAACAAAAATAAATAAAGACTAAAAACTAAAAGTCCTCCAAACGACCCAACTGTGTAACCCTGTAAGATCTGGTCGTTTTGGACTCTTTGCATTCAAGGTTAAAAACAACGCTGACTGTTGGTTGACGAGAAGCACAAATACTTCAATTCTGTACTTGATTTTCACTTTCTACATTGTTTTCAGGGCGTGTTTGTAACCAGGTAACATGGCGGTCTCCATGCAGGCCTGCAGTGGTCAGTCGGATGGTGAATGTGGGTCAGGGTAGAAGGTGACCGGGCTGACGGTGGGGGGGGTGTTGGATAGCGAGCCATGCTGGCCACACAGATGGTGATGGAGGAGGGAGAGTGTGTCCTCCAGGATCGTCCTGCTGCAGGGAGCCACTGCTGCTCCACTAACACTGTCTGACAGGTTCATGCTAATGAGGCTGTTAGCATGAGCAACCGCAACAGGAAGGAAAACAACGGCACCACCGCAACTGTCTCACAGGTGAATTCTGGGAAATGCAGTTGAGTTAGCTTTTAAAATAAAAGTTCTTGTGAGATTTCCCATAATGATTTGTTATTAAAATTAACTTTCAGACCAATATTTGTTTTAGAGATTTTTTGTGTTTTTGTTGTTGTTGTTGTTTTTAGGTTCAGTTGTTTTAGTTTAATGAGTTTATTTTGTGTTTATTGTGACAAATGTGACATTTCCTTTCTTTGGAAATAAAATGTGGGTATGTTTCCTTGTATCTGTCTCGATTTTGGGTCTGGAAAGTGGGAATGTTTTAACAGAGAGAGCTCCTCAGAGAGCTGTTTGGAGGTTACGACGCTGTGTTGAAGGTAAACATGTAGTTGTGCTGGTTAATGTTAAATGTTTGATTACATAGACCTCAGTGTGGTCGGCTCTGGGCGGACTCCGCTGACTCCTTGGCTAATCTAAAAATGGCCAAAGACGTAGCGCTGAGGCTGAATGAAGCCTGGTTACTGAAAACAGCCACCTGTCACTCAAAGTGGACACGCACTTAATTATGCATAACTTAAAGCCTTAATATAATTTAAACAGCTAGTTATATAAAAATTCACCCCCGTTAGCTCAACAGACCAAAAGGCTGTAAACATGTTTATTTCTGTTGTTATTTTAATATGGGGCCTAACATGGAGACTGACTCACTGCTGGAGCCTCTAGTGGCCGTTAGAGGAACTGCAGTTAATTTGCAGCCAACAGGACCAGTGCGAAGGATTTAATGGTTTCTAGTGGTGAAGTTGCAGATTTCAACCAACTGAAACCCCCTCGCCTCAACCAAGCATGTAGGAGAAACTACAGTCGCCGCGAAAGACCATCTACAGTTGGTTTTGTCTGTTGTTCATAATGGAGAAACATGGCGGACTACGTATAATCTACTCTGTAGTCTCATTCTAACAAAAACACAACAACTGTTATTTTCAGGTGATTATTCACTAATGAAAACAAACCTATTAATATCAACAGATCCTCCTCAATGTTTCACACTGGAGGTTAAAAGCAGTTGTAGGACAGAAACAGAGCAGAGCAGATTTCAGTGAGTCCTGAGGGGAAACTGCAGTCAGCTGACACAAACATATTCCCTCAGGATCCTCATGGAAACACAGTGCACTCTGGGAGTTTATTTATCTGGAACAAGTCCAGTCAGGACTGTTTAACATCCACACTGGGAGCTGCCCAGTACAATGCCTTGCTCAGAGACAACAGTAGTTCACAGGCCCAACCAACCAGACTGCATCTGGAGCTGGTTTCGGTTTTGGTTTTTCTACTTTGTGCCGTGTTACGGACCAACTGCTGCACAGAGAGATAAGAGGAACAACGTGAATCTACAAAATGTCCCATAAAAAATGTTTGAGTGGATCAATTTAAAGTCAAACTGAAATCACTGTTTTTTAAATGTACTGTCAATAGTTTCTTATTATTAAACAGGAAGAAAAAAAGCTCTTTGTGGAAATATGTCAAATACTTCTATTACTGTCTCAGCGTTACTGGCCTATATTTCAGTGTTTGGTTCATTTTTGTGAAGAAAAGTAAATGTA